AATAATAATCCAAGTGAGACTATTCAAAAGGGGGACTTTATTTTTATTACACTGGAGCCAGGCGTCAGTGCGCCAGTTCAGCTTTGATACACAATAAATCAGCAAACCTGTCACTCAGTTTGGAAACCAAGATTGCAGTGGCACTAAAAACACATTGAAAACATTTACTTTCTTCCCTTTTTTTTTTTTTCCTCTTTTGTTTTTGGTACAAAAATGGTACAAACAACAATACAAAATATTTGTGCTGTTGGCGGTTACAAAAAAAGGTTTTTGAACTGGGTTAACGGACGCAAACTTTTGCTTTTGCTTCAGCGTGAATACAGCAGAACAGCAGAAGTCTTCCTTGAGAACAACCACAGTCATGCGGGCTGCTACACAGCTTCTCCATCAGAAAGGAAACATGCAAAATCATCATTAAAATTAAAATTAAAGAAAAAAAAAGTGCTCCAATTATACATCTACATGTTGTTGGTGTTTTTTTCCCCTATTAGGTTTGTAGCTTCAAGCACTAACTACATTATGTACACTGTGTGTGAACAGTTGTATGTGGGGTTGGTGTGGACTGGAAAGAACTTTTATTTTCCCCATGAAACCGAGTTAATTTGCGTGGGAGACGCCTACGTTGTCTGGCTGCTGTTTTAAACACTTGCATTCATGGTGACACAGCATTTCCCCCCCTCCCCCAGTATTTTTTTTCACACTTAAAATGAAGAGCTCCAAAAGACATCACAAATAAAAGTTCTGTATTTTACCTTTAATATGTTTTTCTTTTAAGAATAAACAAAGTTGCAATCTTGGCATATTGTGTGGTACAGACGCTGCACTGACCATTGCCGTTCTTCAATGCCTGAGCACCCTTATGTGAAGCAGTTACAGCCACCTCTGAAACCCCACTTCTGAAGGCTGGATTTGGACCTGACTGTCCCTAGAAATCCACGGGAGCAAACTCCCCATCACCATTGTACAACTGCCAACGGCATTGCCTGGTCCAACAAAAAAGGGGGAAAAATGGAAAACACAAAACCAGAAGCGAAACGATGACTAGAACGTGGGACACCTAGAACAGACTTGCCTATTTACTGTCATTAATGACCTGCTGAATCTCCTCCTTGCCTTGCAAAGCATTTCTGTGACTGATGCTGCTCCCAGTTTTAGGCTATGTGACAAACAGACCACCAGGGCTGTGGGCCATGCTCTGCCAGGGGTGGCTGTGGGTACAGCAGTGACACTGGACCTGCACATCCCTGGCTTGGGGATGTGCAATCCTCATCCTTAGGAGGTAGGGAGGCCACCATGTGTCTGGCCCCAGTGCCTTGGGAACTCACTGTCCCCATCCCTTGGACAGCAGGGAGAGCTGTGGTGGTGTCCCCTGGCAGTGCTATGGGGGGACAGGGTGGGTCAGGGTGTTTTAGGGACAGGATACCCTCCACCTGCCTGAAAGCAAGTCCTTCCCCACTGCCTTGAAGGGTACAAAGAGTGGGGATCACTTCTTCAAATAATTTAATGTTTTAGTTTAGATTAGTCAGGAAACGGGGACTTTGGTGTCAATGCATTAACCCCTCCTGTGGCCTCAGGATAAACAGCAACTGCAGGCTCAGCCAAAGGGTTCTTTGCCTCAGCACTGATCCTTGTAAGTCCCCATCACCTCCAGCTGCAACTGGTTGTCACTGTGTCACATCCATGAGGACCAGAGGGGGACAGAATGATGGCAAAGTCATCTTGTCAATGGGACCCCGTGGATTAATGTAAATTTTCTTAGCTGGGTTACAAACCACCAGTAACATTAGCAAGCAAAAAGGTTTGTAAAAAGTGTTCTGTTTTCATTGCTGGATGTGCCCCTTGCTTACCTTCCATGGGTCCCACTGTGAGAAAAGTGGCCTGAGGCTGCTGCTGCTTGTGGGGCTGTAAATCTCAGAGAGGGAGTACACAGGGAGGAGAAAGGGGAAGAGGAAAAGAAGGGAGAGGCCCTGCAGAGGGAGACTGAACAGAACTGGGTCAAAACACAATAATCTGGTTGGTTTGATTTATAGGCTCATGGTATTGGAACGGCTGGATTGCAAATGCTGCAGAAAAAAATATCTGCTGATTTTAAAAAAAGTCGCCAGTGGAAACAGGTTGGTTTATTTTTAATCACTCGTTGTTTGACTTAGGTTGCATAAATTCTTGAAAACCTGGAATGATTAGACAAGCTGAAGTCAGACAACATCCCCTTCATGGCTCCTTTCATCGCTGGGGAGAGTGTGCACTGCTGATGGCCTGGAGCTGCCATCCCACATCCCTGGCAGCCCTTCCCTACCTGAAACCCCTCATCCCAGCCAAAGCCACAGCAGATGTTAAGCACCAAGTGCTCTGGAGCAGGGATTGAGCTGCTCTCCCAGGTAAGCAGTGCCAGGTGGATGGCAGGGCACAGCTCCCAGCAGAGACCTGGCTTTGCAGGATCCACACGAGCATTCCAGGGGCTGGCAGGCGGTGGCACAACCCAAGGGATGGAGAACCCTCGGCATCACCCAGCTCTCCAGCTGAATCCTCCTCCTGTGTTGGTGACGAGGCTACGGCGACGGACACCAGCAGCAAGAAACACCAAGAGCATTTTTATTATTCACTGTGCCTGTGCCCAGGCAGCTTCTGCAGAGGTGCAAAGCCCTGGTGGTGAAATATTCCAGCCCGTGGCTTTTCCAAAAGAAACAGGGAAGAATCAAGAGTGCCATGGGTAAGGAAGAGAGGCTGCAGGGCCATGCAGCCTCTGTGCCAGGGAACAGGGGCGGTGAGGTTTGCCAAGAGTGGTTGAGAGGAGGGGGATAGCACATGGCAGAAGCAAACCAAGACTTTGATGGTGGTCACACAAGATGACTGAGTTCACAATGATGGAATGGGAATCTGGAAGAGTGTCAGGTGCTGCCAGCCCATGCCTGCCCGTGGTGTGACATCCTCACCTTGCTGCTACCATTAGCGCCGTCCCTCTCCTCTGAGGTCCACACTATTGCCTCCTGGTCTCCTCAAGAACCTTGGGTGAGAGTGAGTTTGCTCTCTGAGCCGTGAAAGACAAACTGACCCATTGACCGGCCGACCAAGGCAAAAAGAAAGATCTCACCCTTGGTAGTCGATAACATCCTGGTAACGCTGAAGTCCCCTCGGGCAGACTTTTACCATATTCCACTTCATACAAGACACATTTCAAATGCTCATTAATTTACAGAAATTGCATTTTATAGAAAATATGATACAATGAAATATAAAATGCACTAGGAGCATTTCAAAAATCTATAGAGACGATCTTGCAGCCCAGTTTACCCTCTGAAAGGCGCCCACTCATCACCCCAAGCTCTCGTCCTCTCATTCTCGCTCTCATGTGCACGCGCTCGCTCCCCCCGCCTCCCCCCCTTTAACTCTTAGCATTCAACTTGAGAATCAATAGAGATATCAAAAAAAGCGTGATTATCCCCTGGATAATCACCTTCCAATACTGTGCACATTCTTGGATTTAAAGGAAAATATATCTAAGCACTTTTACAAGTTTTAGCGAACCCACTGCAAAATCGTCTGCAGAATATAAAACACAGGTAATCCAAGATTTCATAGCACATTAATTAAGTGGCTCATAATCCATTAAATGTGGTTTATATTACACATCCATGCAGTCTAAATCATTTTACAAACATTAGACATAAACCCACTAGTCCAAATCAGTAAAGGAAAAATGTAATAAAAAAAGCTAATAACTATTTGTTATTGGTTAAACTGACCCTACATATAAACTAGGTAGTTTGCTACCATTTATAATACTGATGTTGAATTATGCCTGGATGCTGCGAAACCTCTTGCTTACTTGGCAATGCTTGAGCATATTAACCACAAGATACTTAACAGGCCCTCGTTGCACTTCTTCTCCAAAAAAACACATTTACTACAGATAGCAGCGCCTACCCATCGAATAGAAAGGACACACATTAGCTGAGTTACACGATGTTGTTGAGCTTTGGCTACTAATGCTCCAAGGCATTAATGTGGAACTAGACTAACTCCATACTTAGGGATGGGAGAAGTGTGGGTAACCTGTCCCTGTCCTTGGCACTGCCTCGGCCGCGAGCGGCGCCGCCGCGCAAACCCTGCCTCAGCCCAGGAGAGCAGCACCAGTGCTGGGCATCCTCAGGGATGGGGGACACCACCACCATCACCACCACCACCTCCTCGTCCTCCACCTCACCCCGCTGGCGTGTCCGTGGGAGCCAAAACATGGCGATAGCAGAAAAACAAACAGATGGGCCTTTGGTCATGTCACCGTTTACTTCGGAGGGTTTAGGCAAGGGCTGTCGGAGATTTCTGTTGCAATAACCAAAGGCTTTATCAATGCTATAGTTCTATGCAGCTACATTGAGTGTGACCAGGGGCCAGCAGAGCCCTCTGGTCAGTATTTTGCATCTGATAACACTGAATTATATACAACATGATGACTAGTTCACCACCTGCTGAGGCTTAAAGATGGCTGTTAAGATTTCGACTCAAAACATCTCCCCCCCCTCCCCACCCCCCCATCTTCTTCCACCCCAGAATGAGTCACCCCCTTAAAAAAACCCAACAAAACGAAACAAAACAAAAAAAGGCAAAAAAGAAACAATCTCCACAGTTCCTTTTTGTTAACTCCTTCCCAGCTAGAACTGGCTTAGGGTCACAGGGAGTGCTGCCCAGGATGGTTGTATGTTTGTTTTCATCACTCCTGAGATTGAAGGGAATCTGACACATGCACCAAAAGGCACTTTCAAATATATATATATATATATATATTTTAAAAACAGTGCTTCTGTTCTAAGAAATTCAAGTTAAGACAGAGTGCCTTTCACTCTCTTTAGTCATAAAGCAGGTAAACGAGCAATATCCCAGCTGACATTAAAAAAACAAAAAAAACCCAAAAAGAAACCTGCAGCAGAGACAAGTGTTCATGCGAGACAGCTCAATATTCTAGGAAAAAAAATACAACAGAAAAAAAGGAAAAAAAAAAAGAAACCTCCTATATCACCACTAAAAATAACAATACAGTCAGCAGGGGATATTAATTAAAAAAGCTGCCACATCTGTACAGTTCTTGCTCCTGCATCGGCTCTTTTCGTTAACGTTGTCTGTGGGTTTGTTGTTTTTTTTTGTTTGTTTGTTTCTTATAATTTTTTTCCTCCTTCTTCTTTTTTTAAATTTTTTTTTTGTTTGTTTTATAATAAGATGAGGTCAGTTTAATCTTCCTCTCCTCCCCCGTACATGTCTGCCAGTTTCTTGAAGCGGGGCCCCCAGTCGTTCAGGTAGTCGTAGTCCTGGTCCCCGGAGCTGGAGGAGTTGAGGGAGCTGACAGAGCCGGCGGTGGAGCCGCTGCCCTCGTAGTCAAAGACCAGCAGGGAGTCGTAGGGGGGGGCTGTGGGGTCGTTGTCTGCTGCACGCAGGCCCTGGAGGGGTGAACACATGGTGTTAATGCCCACCCTGGGGTTTGAGGGCTGGGGGGGATGTTTGGGATGCCCGCAGCAAAGCTAAAAGGGAAAAATGAGTGTCCTGGGGCTTCCCAGATGCACCTCCAAGTAGAGAGCTCTCAGCTGCTCCCTGCAGAAAACCCAATGTCCCAGTGTCCCTAAAAAGAGTCGTTATTTCCAGTTGTTTATTTCCAATGATCCACTTCTGGATCTGGAAAGCTTTCTGTCCTGCCAGTGTGCCCTTGCTGGGGTTGCCTGTTGAGATTTCCATCTTAGCCAATAAAACAAAAACCAGCACCCTTCCTCCACCACCAATATTTAAATTCTGGTGTTTTTCATTCCTTTAGGAAAACAAAATATAAAAAAAAAAAAATCACTGCTGGCAAAATTCTGCAATTAGGACAAACGTGGGGTGTGGAATCCTGGGCAGGGGACTGGGGAGCATTGCTGCTCCTGTGCAGCGTGGGCAGCAGAGTAGGCAGGCCATGGAAATGGCCTCGGGATATGGAGAAAAAGAATTGCTTTGCTGCAGAGCCCAGCGTCAGGAAAAACCTCGTGGAATAGCCCTGCAATAAAGCAAATGTTCCACATTCCCACCTTCAGAGGCCCTGACCTCAGTGTGGGGAGATGGAACTGGTTTCAGCAGCAGGGGCGTGTGTGAGGAGAGTGAGTCTTCATGGGTGTGTGTAAATGTGAGAGAAGGATGGGCAAAGGGACAAAGGAAGAAGGGATTTTAATGATGAAAATGAGAAAAGCACAGCAGGAAATGCATGTAATAATAGAATTAAATGGCTGTAACATTTATTTTTCTGGCTTAGGAAATGGATGGTGTGCTTTGTCTCGGAGGAAATAATGCATTGATTGGTTTGTAACCACTCAATCACTCAAAACTAAAAATGAGATAAGAAATACCAACTGGATAGATATTTACAGGCAGAAAAAGGAGAAGTAATCTAACATAAAATAAAGAAATTCTCTCTGATCTGTGTCTATCTGTGCTGCAAACTCTTTGAGGCTTTACACCAAACAGAGCTTACAAGGAAGGCACAGACTGCTGAAATAATTACAAGTCCAGCAGCCACAAATGGCTCATTCTGCCTGGGTTCTAAAAAGCATGGTGTTTGTGACACCCACAAGACAGAAATCTTGGGCTTTTTGTTGGTTCAATGCCTTCATTAGGCCAAGCCCTGCATCCTTTGCTCAAATCCTTTCCCTGGCTGGCATCAGATTTCTGGCTGAGCAGTAGCACTCTTGTCCCGTGCAATCAGGGAAACCTGACTTTAGCTGGCTGCTCAAGCTTTGAAGATGTGACACAGGACCTCCTACAGAACATACCTCGTTAATAAAATCACCAATATCCCCTGGATGTGGGATTACTGGTCTTATGGGATACTGTGGCTCAGCACCAATAGGTCTTTCATCCACCCTTCTGACTCCAGGTGTCTTGTTCAGCACGTGATCCATGGTCTCTGGCTGCTGGAGCTGGCTTAAATCGTAATCCTGTGACAAATGGGAAGGCACAGTGTGAAAACCAGAGCTTTTCCTTCAGATCACCTACTCACTCCATGTGCAAACAAGTCAAGGGCTCTAATTCTCTTTCAGCTGAAGTTTGATGGCAAATCTTATCCCTGGGTATGTAGCACCTCCATCTGAATTACAGATGAACCTGACCTCTGAGGAGCTCATAAAATTGACCTAAGAGTGTATCTTATAAGTTAAATTAAGTATTTAAATTTCCTGAATATTTCACATGGTGTCTAAATATTTGGGATGAAACCCTGGCTTTTGTTTGTGTGTGCAGAGATGTACACGTAACTTTTTTGATAAAATACACAATATAATGTAGAGACACAGAGTTAGTAGACATATTATTGCAATTACATTTCTACAGAAGTAAAAACATTAAAATGTGTATTGCATTTATGCATGTAGACCTTTTCAAAGTAATTATGTTCTTTTTCCTTGTGAAAAATCCCAATAGAATAGGTTTCTATCACGAAATGAGAACCAGGTAATATTTCATTAAAAATGTATTCATGTAGGTAATGGTGTTTTGCTGCTTATCCTTTTGCTGTTATTTTTAACGAATCCTTCCTAAAATATTTAAGCCTACTGTGTAGTTGCCTGAAACCAGATACTTCAGCTACTTGGAATGCTTAGAACAGTGCTTTGTTCTACCAGGAAAACTATCCTTGTGCTCAGATGGGGATGATTGAATCTCCAGGAGCAATATTTATAAATAACTTGACAGCAACAGGAAAAAAAAAAAAAGAAATGTTAATTGCAAGGATTTTTCTGTGGAATAAGAACTTTTCAAGGTTTGGTTAAACTCCTGCCTCAGAGTTTTCCATGGCAGGTCTCATCAGGCTCACTTGCTTGCCCCCAGGACCTCCATGGCAGGATGTGCTGCAGTGGTTTTGGGGGATCCCTAAGCACTGACCTGAAACCATGCAGTCAACAAGCAAAAATAAAGCCATTACACAATGTACAGTGACATAATCTGCATGAACATCATATCTGAGAGTGTCCTGGGCTCTTTACTTGTGCTTGGTAGGAGTAAAAAACCAGTGACTTCAACATGAGTGACCCAACTTTGCTATTTTAGGTGAGGAATGGGACAGGCAGCAGTGGAAAAGCACATCCCAGGAGTGCAGGCCAGGGAGGATTTCATGAATATCAGGAAGTTTTCATGCAGTATCAGCAGTGGTGTCTGTAGGAAGAGCCACTGGAGGAAAGCTGACGTGTTCAGGCAGCCTGTGGCTCAGGGCTCTGTCACCCAGCACAGCTTTGCCACCGCGCGCTGCGTCGCGAGAGAAAATCCCCAAATCTCTTCAGACATTTCTCACAAACCATGTCCAGAAATTAAAAGAAATTAAAGGCACATTAGAGATGATTAAGTAAATGCAGGGAAAGCCCACAGAAGATCAAGCAAGCCACAGGGGTGGGCAGGGCAGTAGCTGCTGGCTGGTTTTACAAAGATGTCTGGTAAAATGCACAATTTTAATGACTTAAATAACAGAAATATGGTTTGAACATGAGTGTCAATGGAGTCATTTATAGTCCTTCTCCAGGAAGGTGCCTGGAGGGTAGAAAAATCCCTGTGGCACTGGCCTCCTGGCATTGTCCTGCTTGCACAGGAGGGTGTCCCACTAATATCCTGAATGTCCTGGACCTGCTATCCCTCCACCACACCAGGGAACACAATAAAACTGCCTGGTCGTAAATAAAAGAACACAACCCTTTGCATGTATTTTACTAAAAATAATGTGGTTTCTGCCTTTTTTTGAGAGTACAGATATTGCACCTTGGCCACAGCTCAGGGTCTCCTCTCACCTGATCCTCCTCTCCACCTCCCTCTTCATCATACTTGAGGATGTTGTCCCTGACGTCGTCCTCGGGGTCGATGAGCAGCTGCTTGGTGTGCCGCTCCTTCTCCCGCCGCTTCATCCACACCACGAACAGCAGGACCATGGCTGCAACAGGACAAGCTGGGTCAGCTGGCACCTCCTGCAGCACCAGGCCAGGCTCAGGGTGTCCTAACTCCTCACCTACCCCTGCCCACTGCAGGGAACCTCACTGGCTGCTGGCAGGAGGAATAAAATGTTAGCCTATTGTGTGGTCTAGTTTTTAAAGGAGGGATCAGTGAGAGCTGGAAATACTGTGACAGATTCTCACTACAAACATTTCTTTAAGATCCATCGCTGATGCTGATTGAGCTGATATTAATCAGGAGTAAAACACACAATCAAAGCAGGAGAAACCAGAAAGTGTGAAAAGTGCAGCTCTCTGAAAATATTTGATCTGAATTCCTGAGTTCTTAGGATTAGATTTCCACCTTTATTTTATTCAGGGATATAAAGATGGAGGGAAGAGAGCTGCAGAGAAGGAAACAGGTGCAGATACCCAACATTTGTGCACAAGGGGCTGTTCCAGCAGCGTGGCACAGGTTCAGCCCGTTCAGGTCATGAGCCCTGACTGTGACAGTCTCTGCTGTTTTCTGCAGTTGGCCAGGCAAGACTGATCTGGGGAGGATGCACAACACTGAGTCCTGTAATCCAATTTGGCCTCCCTCATATTCTTCTTTGGTCCATGAGGGAGGCTCTTTAGACTTCTGAGATCAGATTAGCCAGGACATTAGCACATGCATTTGGCCATCGACTTGGAAAGCAAATCTCAGATCATCTGAAATCCTTTCAGAGAGCAGGGCTAGCTTTGCAGAACGAGGGAGAGCCAATCTGGTAGCACACAGCCAAGCTCCTCAGGCATCAGCATTTGCATGCCAGGCTTGGCTAATCTCCCTCAGCACAGTAACAGCGAGAGATGAGCATTAGAAACTTTTCTCATATTAAACAACTCTACCCACAGGGAACACTGGCTCACTGCTCCACAACCTCACCCTTCAAAGGGACACCCACATCCCAGGGGCTGGCTGTGTGCTCCCTGTGAATTACTGCATGCAAGAATATCTGGGAACTCAAGTCTCCACTGACATAAGGCAGCCAGATCTTGTCTTCTCCAAGAAGGTGTTAATGCATTTGTTTTCATTCTTGTACTCAGTAGCTGCAAATAATGCCCTGAAGAATGGAAGTTCAGCCTGGGCAGCTGCTGCAGCCACACCTCCCACTGCCTGCTCTCCCCTCCATTCTCCATGCAAGCCCCACACTGAGCTGCAGTGGTGGCAATTTGCAGAAGGGAGCAATGGATGGACAGTGGAGGTGGGAGAAGTGTCCCAGGTTCATTTCACCTGGATCAACCCTCAGCTGTGCCAAACCAACACAGCCAACCAAGCAAACTCAGGCAGGATGTGAGATCCCAAAATTTGGGGGTTTTAGTTGAGACCAGACCCTGGGGACATGGATAGGCTCTCCAACCTGCAGGAGGAGGTGGTTAGGAGCATCCAAATTCTTCTTCCCAGCACCAAAGTGTTTATGCCCAACAGGAATTCAGGGAAGTGAGCGAAGAGGACCGGACAGCTAATTACTGCCATTGTGTGCCAACTGGCACATCCCTGCCTGCCAGCTAACAGAATTGTTTTCAGATAGTTCAGCATGTCTTTAATGCTTATCCCAGATCTATTCAAGAAAGAAAAAAAGAAAAGGAAAGAAAATGTAACTCTCATCTGTAATATAAAACCTCAGCTATTTAGCAGACTATTGAAGTCCTTTTTTCATTGTTCCTTTTCAAGTCTCTCACAACAAGATACCTGACTGGTCCACAAAGACAATATTATAATGGTTACTGGGGTTTATCTTTTTATTTCCCTTTTTTTTTTTTAAATGATACTTTTTCATGCACTTGTGGAAAAAATGGTGCCATTAATGCCTTTACAGCTGCCTTGGAAAAAAAACCACCTTCAAAGTGTCAATGGTGGATGTAGTGCACTCTCCTTCCTTTTATTCACTCTGCAGAATGGGAAGTGCTATTACTGCTGTTAGAACCATTTTTGCTCTGCATGTAGTTTTCCTTGAAATCTATTGTCTTCACCCTTCACAATTTTTTACTGCATTGCTCTTCTAAATGTGTTATTTGTGCAGCTAATACATCAGGTAGCAAGAAGAAGAAAAAAACCCCTTTGAGCAAAGGTAAAGGCATAAACTTCCTTCACAGGAGCAATCCTGGATCTGTCCCCTTGTTTCTTCTTCCTTTTAAAGTCATCCAACTTTGACCTGCTGACTCCAAAATGGACAAATAGCACAAGAAAATCCCTCTTCTGCCTTTTTCTAGGCTATTGTTTAGAGGTCATGATACGAAACAGATAGAAAGGAGGCAAAACACTGGAAGGATGTAACTGTAAAACTGCTCATTGCAAATTACATTTTTCATCACTGATACAGTGCTTTGCAGCTCTCCAAGATTAAAAAAAAAGTCAATTAGAATTACAATGAATGTAAAAATAAGCTTTTGTAATAAAACCCGTAATTTAAAATGGGATAATGTATCTGAAAATGGAAAGAGGAATCTCTTAAATCAAATGTCCTTCAGCTGAAGTTAATTTCAGTCAATAGGATTTTCAACCGTTTTAAATTGTATTTTAGGACTGGATTTATACAAGAGCAGCAAAAAGAAGACCTGTGTTTAATCACCTCTGGGTGAGCCCAAACCTTGAGCCCAGGGCAGCAGCAAACCTGCACAACAAAAGGAGGTGAGGCTGATGAACACCTTCATCTTCATCGGGGTGTGTGACCATGGTGCCCCAACAACCACCCTGGGCTGAAGGGAGCAGCCAAAACTGGGAATGGGGGGCAGGAACTGGGCACCATGGCTGGGCACAGGGATGTTCCATCAGCTGAGCTGGGCTGGGAGAGGAGCAGGGTCTGCACAAACACCCAGTTCTCACTCTCCATGCTGATCCAGTAGATCAGTTACACACCAACACATTCCCAGCACCAGCCCAGGATGTGGATGGAAGTCCAGGGTGAGCCATTCTCCTAATGTACCATGTCATGTCCCCATGAGGTGACATTTGGAGCATACGTTGCTCTGTCTGTGCTCTGTTAAAACACACTGAGGGTAAATATTAAATGTGATTTAGCACCATAACTCCCATTAGCTTTAATGAGAGTCCCATGGATTCATCCTGTGTTTCTTGATTAATATTTACCTCATTGTTCATTTCAGTGCTTGTTTTTATCTATTCCTACTGTGCCAACTCCTGCTTGAAGTTATAATGATATAATTTTTACTTTTTAGATGTGCACACATGGTTATTGGTAATGCTCATGGAAGCCTGGGACTGACAGCACTCCTGGGCAAAAGGGATAGCTTTGCCTCAAGGAAAGGGATGGCCAGTCCTTCTCTGTGATGTATCCCCAGTCCTCCATCATTTCTGACAAACTGGGAATTCTTCCTCTAAAAACACTCATAATCTCCCCAGTCCGAGGTCATTTTAAAAGCAATGGGAATAACTACCGTTCTTCTTTTCCTTGGAACAACCAGAAAAACACAGTTATGCATTAGCTCTGCAAGGGACGAGCCCAACTCTCATAACCAGGGTATCTGGTACTGGGAACCAGTATATCCACAGCCAGCCAGACATGAGAGCTGTGGGAGAATCTGACAGAGAAATTTGGAAGAAGCCTTCAACCTTTTCCTGCAAAATGTGGATGATCCTATCACACTCACTACTTACAAGTTGTTGTCAGGTGTAATAATGTTTGCAAAGCTACTGGAAGTCTTAGAAAGACAGGTCTGACACAGGCAGAGCTCATGTTGCTGATGCTGCAGTGAAGGAGATTTGAATGCAGATGTGAACCACCTACCCAGCCCAAGCTCAGTTGCCCTCTGCATGGAGCTTGAAAAATACAAGCTATAGGAAAGAACAACAGGGAAATATGAAGGAGGGTAGATATAGAGCAGATTTTGGGAAGAAATTCTTTAGTGTGAGGATGTGGCACAGGTTTCCCAGAGAAGCTGTGGCTGTCCCATCCCTGGAAGTGTCCATGGCCAGGTTGGACGGGGCTTGGAGCAACCTGGGATGGTGGAAGGTGTCCCTGCCTGTGACAGGAGGGTTGGAACGAGATGAACTTTAAGGTTCCTTCCAACCCCCAGCAATCTGTGTTTTCAGGCCAGGCCCTGTGGTACTCACTCAGCAGGATGATGATGCAGATCAGGATGGCAATGATGGCCCCCGTGCCCAGCCCCGCGGCGGCCACGGCCCCGATGGTGGTGCAGTCGCCGTTCTCGTCACACGGGCACACCTTCACCTTGATGACAGAGGTGTTGTACAAGGGGGGGTTTCCTGAGTCTGTCACAATGATGGGCACGTCGTACACTCCTGCTTCCAGGTACATGATCCGCAAACTGAGCTGGGCATAGTCCCCTGGAGACCAAGACAGACAGACAGACAGATGACAGGCACTGGTAGAGTCTTGCAGCCACACTTGTGCAGAGTTCTCTGCCAGAGCCCTCTTCTGAGCCCTGCAGAAGAGGCAAGCAACAACACACCTGGGCAGGACAGCTTCAGAACTCTGCCCCAACAGTCTGGCCAACAAGCAGCCTGGGCTTTGTTCTGTGTGCTCCCACTGCTGCACTCAACTACCTGCATGCCATTTGCAAATCCACTTGCATGTGTTCAATATGGCATCCAACACAAATAGGAACACATGGATAATGTTTCCTGAGGCTGGGCTGCCCCTGGCCACTTGTGCAGGTTCTGTACTCACTCACACTTCCCCCTGAGGATTTTGGGAACTCACTGATGACAGGCACAGCCAGGTAATCCCGTTATGACTGAGCTCTGAGCTGTGAGGGCACGAGCTGTTGCCCCTGGTCTAGCACCCTCTGCCAGACCTCAGCGAGAGGGACCAGCATTGAAGCCAAAACCAGCCCACAACTCCATGATATTTTCCATCCTCTGTTGAAACTGCCAATAAGCAGAGCAATTAGGGCCATTTGTGGTTGCACACTGCAATATAAAAATCCTTCACATACTGGTAATCTTCACACTTACCTAGCCCTCCTGGTTCCATGGTAAATTAAAAGGCTGCCTTTATGCAATTATGGTCAGAGAAATGAACATTGATCCTGATTGTGGCTTATGACAATTACACTGGAGGAACATAAGGAAGACTGATAATAGCTTTTTTCCCCTTGGCCATTATGGATGATTTATACTCTGTTCACTACTGATAACTGTTCATAATTATGAACTGCATTAAAAAAAGCCAAGTGCCAAAGCTCTTAGAGTTATGCTGCAGGTCTGATACAAATCATTCCTGATTAACTATCTTGTCTATAATGTCAAACGTAATGTGCTTTAAAAAATAAAAATCACATTAAAAAAAGTGGGAAAGTTTTGGATTTGGAAGCCGCGCGTGGGGCTCGTTAGTGAAGCAGAGGCCAGATGAGCTCAGGATTGCCTGCCCCGTTTACCATTGAGCCGGGAGATGGTCCAGTTCTTCCTCACTGCAGAGGGCACACTGGGCAGCTCGAAGACGAAGGGCCCCACGTTGGGGTCGATGTCGGCGTCGGCGGCCGTGATGTTGATGACGTTGAGGTTCGGCTTCTCGCAGATCTGCGCCTCCTTGGGCAGCAGCTCCGGCGCGTTGTCGTTGATGTCGATCAGGTAGATCTGCAGAGTGCCCGTGCCGCTGGCTGGGGGGATTCCTGCACGGCAAACACCCACCTGTGAGCACCACTGGGGAGCAGAGGGATTGGCAAGACCACACACCAGCCCCCTCTCTGCCTTCCAGGGCCAGTAAACCAGGATTTTCACCTTCCCCCCCTGGACCTCATTAGGGACATACTGCACTTCCATGGTCCCTTGCTTCATGTGGTATAAAACTTCCCCAAGCCTCCTAATGTTGCTGTTTTTCACTCCTGCAGAACAGGAGGTTGAGTTCTGCAGATCTGTAGCCTGCAGCAATGCCCCTAGTCAAACTAAAACTGCGAGCAGGTGATGCCAAGCTGCTCCTGCAAATCTTGGTAATGGCTGTTTTAAAGAAGAAAAACCATTAGAAAGAGAGCTGACAAGAGGAAGAAGAGGGCTTGGAGGGGAGAAAAACCTACATATTGTAACCCATTGGTCAGCATTTACTGTAGCACTTGCTGGCCCGTTTTCAGCTTTGCAGACCATTACTCTGCTTCAAAGAAAGCCCAGCTTTGGTGGTGAGAGGTCCCTGCTCAAAGCCCACAGTGTGAGCCACCACCAGACCTGCTGGGTGATGCCACCAATCCCCAGCAGCAGTGTTAGGTCCCACCACACAGTTCCCCATCCTCTCCACATTTGTCCCAACCAGCAGGAATGTCCCAGCACAGCAGTCCTGGTCCTCCACCCCTTCTTGATGGAGAGCCACATTTGTCAGATTAATGACTACTCACACAAAGTAGGATCTGCCCTGGCAGGAGAGAACAGCCTTCCCAGAAACGGCACAGTGTTTTTCATTTCTCTCCCCACACATTTATCCGGCAGCTCCGTGTTGGCCTGCCCTCTGCCTGCATGGCTTCAGCAATTCTTTTTAAAGTTTGTATTTTCAGTCCTGGCCTTTCCTCCCAGTGCTAGATACAAAGCTACACAAACGACTTCCCCATCAGGCTTCTGCTTCCACAGACCATCCTTCCCACATTCCTTTCTCCATGTCTCAAGGGAGCCTCAAAAATTCTGAAGGAGCCCTGGAAATCCTTTTTTCATGGTTCCCACATAAGCTCTTCAATCATGGACTCTCATCCTTTCATCCTGTAAGCATGGGGTAGGTCTCCCTCTAAAACAATGTCTTTTGATCAGCCTTGAAAGCTTCCAGAGAGGCAGACAGCTCACCAGGATACTGGGGCTGGACATGAAAACTGACTTTTGGGACCAAGCAAAGTGATTTTACTGCTTTCACATTACCCAGAGTATCTTCTGGGATAAAAGCACTGTAACCTCTGAGAAAGACTGAACACAAACCCTCAGTCCTGAGAGGCACTAACTGGCACGTGGCTGAAATAACCTGCAATTGCTACACATATAAATGCACTTTTGTTGGGCCATTGAGTATTGTTGGGATCTGAGTCCTGGTATTTTTGTTTCTTTGTGTCCCTGAGTGCAATTCCGGGGCAGTTTTAGGAGAAATGAAAAGTAAACAAAGTTTTAATGGTCATGTCCTACAAACTGTGGAACATTTCAAATTATTTCAGCTGTCTTATATGGAGAGAGCAAAGACATAGAGCAGGTACTGATGTGCAATGAAGGATCCTTGGACTTTATCCTCAGGAGATGAGGACTAAAATAGCACCACTGGAGACTCCAGTGGAGAAGCTGGTGTGATCCCTGAAATTAAGATTGAAATACTAATGACAAAAAGGAAGAAAATGCAACTTATGCATCTACATTTAACTGTTGAATTCTCCATCACAGCCTTTTTCACAGGGTCAGTGTCTGCATTCCCACAGCAAGGTGTAAGCCAAGGTTTTCATGCTCAGCTCTTTGTTTCATGAAACCCGCTGGAATATGACACATTTAAGTTCTCAGCTTCCCTGGGAGATTGGCTGAAATTGGCTGAGGGGTTCATACACTGCCAGGCTCCACTCTTGTGTAGACACAGCGTGATCCAAGGGACTCTCTCCTCAGAAACCAGGTTAAAACCACGCTGTTGATTAGGATTCCCTTTTTGCCCTCCTTACATTGCAGCCAAGACTTTTCTTAAAGACAGTATCTCTACACTGGAGCCCAGGGAGAGAAAGAGAGCACGTCCAAGGAATATTGGCTAAACTTCTTTATCATGTACTGAGAACAGCAAAAAGAACTTCAAGGAAAGAAGATGCTGCTGTGTCTTCAAGAAAGAGAGAAAAATCCCCAGCAAAACCCTTGACCCAAAGCTTTTCTTTGATGCTGGAGAACCTGGAACTTGGGAGCAATGTGGTAAGAGTCTATTAGCCTAGATGAAACTTTAGCTGTTATCCTAAGCACTCTAGACAGAATTTTAAATAAGGTGTTGCTTTATGTGCATTTTAATGGCTGCAATATACCTGTGATAGATTATTTTTTCAGAATAAAGAGATTTATCTAGGCCCTCACTTTCTGAGCTGCTGAATGATGGATGTGGAGGTGCTGATGCACTGCTGTATCAGCACCACAGCCAGGGAAAGGGGTTAACTCCACATCACATTGCACCAAGTGCTTGGAATCAGATGGTGAGGATTAGGTTGATAGGTTCAAACCCTACCACTGCATCTGTGAACAGCCCTGGCCTACTCATTTGACCTGTTTTGCCCTGTGGCTTTTGCAGATGAACATTACTGGACCCATTTGAGAATATTCTGAATTTCCCTGTCCTCGTTGCCTTCATGGAGGGGAATCTCAGGATGGGGCTGTGGGGTGTGTCCTACCATTCATGGCACAAAGAAGGGGCAAAATGCACTTCTTGGTACAGCTCCTCAGCACTGAAATGCCTCCATGGGTTTCCCTCACCCCTGTGACCTGGGATGCAATGATTGAAGTGATGCATGGAACCCCAGAGGGAGGAAGTTTTCGTTAGCCCTGCAACCACCACCAAATCTGCTCATAATGACCATGGCACCTCCAGCCTGAGGGATCACACAAACACTGCCCTGGAAGCACCTGCAGAGTATGAGCAATAGATTGAGGTGCTCACAGCCAAGCCTAGACTGAATTGTGCTGCTGAAGAAGGGCTCTGGTTTGAGTGCTCAGCACCCCAGAGCAGGAAATGAGGATGGGTGAGGGGGAGGAAGGCCTTCTCCTTGTCCTGGGAAACTCCTGAACCTTTTCCAGATGGAGGAACTGAGGAATGAAATACCAGCATGGCCACATTTGGGTGTGGTTATCAAAACTCATCAGTTCCTCCTAACCAGGATTAGGAAAAGCAGAGCAGCAGCACTGGGCTGCCTGCCCTTGAGTGAGGCCAGCACAGCTCTCAGTGCTGACTGGACCAAAAGCACTGAGTGATCTTCAGAGAGAAGAGCAAACAGGACTTCTCCAGGAGATCTAACTGGCCTGAGTGGCATTGGTAAAAAGCAAAGCAGCACCCAGATGATCTGATGATGGCTGCACATTTCAGGCAGGCAGTGGCCAGAAGGAGCCCAGCTCCAGTGACAGACACACCTTTTATGAAAGCCACCACGGGTCCAACAGATGGGCTTATTTTTAATACCCTCCTGCCATGCCATAAAATTATTTCTGGTTTCCTGATGGAAGGCTTCCTGAATGCTGTGATCAGTGCCTTTGGGAGGATTACCAGGACCGGTGTGCCCGGCAGCCCCTGGAGAGCACATCCCTCTGACACTTTTTTAAGTTCAGGCTACACCGCCACACTGAACTCCCCAAATCAATTTTCCATTTGTCCTCCCTTTCCCTTAATAACACTCCCCGTATACTGTGCACATTTAATTTACTCCAGCAATTTCCCGTCCCACTTTCACATTTTTGACCATAAAAACCTGGGAAAAAGATAACTTATACTGACAACTCTGTCAGGGCATCATTTCTCTTAATGCATCACATTAGAGTCTTATTGAAGCATGAACAATGTGAAGCCTGGGCTCACCGTTGTCAGCCGCCAAGAATGTGGCCTCGTAGACATTATTCTTAATGTAGTCTGACTCTCGATCAAGGACAGCAGCAGTAGTGATCTGACCATTTGTGGCATTAATGTTCAGCCAGTTTGCAGGATCTGACAGCTTAGAGTATCTACAGAGAAAGGAAATAAATACATGGCAGTCTTTTCACTGACATATCCTTAATATTGCTTGAAATACGTTTTTTTTCCTGGACTCCTGACCTGTGATTCAAAGGACCTTTGGATAACTGGTTTTGTTGACAAACACAATGCTAATTGAGTATCCGGTTTTTGACCTTTACAATTATTCAATTTTTCAATTACTTTAGTTTTAAAGGTTCTTCTTTCCACTAAGTGCCACTTACATGCCAGTTTCCCGCTGCTAGGAGAGGGCATTTCCTGAGGTCTCTGCAGCTGAGCAGAAATGGGGTCTGCAAAGACCATTGCATTTGTATGCCTAAATTAGAGGATGGATTCCTGCTTTTTCCTGCTCCCAACCTTGCCCTTCTGAAACCAGCTTTTTAAAGTCAAAGATATTCCTGTTTTCTCTCCACCACTAATAAACAACGGTTTGGGAATACCACACTGTCAGTCACCTCCCAACTACTCAGTCAATTCACAGCTGTTTTCTATTCATGTCCCATGAAACCAGCTGAGAACATGGGGCTTTTTTTGGGCAAACTCTTCCTGTGTTCTCCAGATCAGTGTTTTCAGTTCATGCTTCTTACCTGCTTGTTTTCTTGCTTTTCTGCCTACCAGTTTCGTACTGTTTGAAGTGAGATGGACCATAACTATCCAACTGGAAGCTAATAAATGGCCAGACTATAAATTACTGAAATAAGCAAACAGAAGCTGAGCTTATTTCATGGGTAACTCAGACCTGCTGATAATTTTATATAATTTGTCATTAGATATGCAGGTGAGAGCATTACTGGCTTCTGGTGAATATCCCTTTCCAGAATTGGGCTGTTTGAAGCAGAAACTCAAAGGGAAACCTGAGCTGAGTCAATCCATGTGAAGAGAAAAGCAACACACAGCTGCACAAACTCCTGCCAAAGGAAAGAATTACATTGCATGGAGCTAGACTCTTTGGGATGTTTTCATTTCAATATCACTGGTGTGAGGCTCCTGCCCTTTCTCTGCTAAATGACCAGGGATCCAGTTTCAAAGCTGGCTTTGTGAATGTGTCTGTGGCTAATGAGGATAACCTGAGGTGTGACACTGCCCATGCCAAGCTGTGCATTACTGGAGATGCTCCTGCTTCCTCATATTCTATTTGTAAAAACTCTATTTCATCAAAGACTATTTAGAGACTGAAATCTGTATGCAAGGCTCTAGCAGCTGGATCAGCTCTTATCATGGATCTGTAGGTTTAGCCTTTTGGGTACCTTTTTTCCTAACTCACCAATGCCAACTGTGAAGTAAAAAATAAAATATCTTTTTTACATCTCACAAAGACAGGGCCCCAAAACCACCCCACTGGTTCCTGCAGAGCCTGGGCATTGGCTGTCCTGATGCAAAGGGAGAGAGACTGCACTGGGGTTTGGAAATGAGGAGCTGTGGATGCACAAAATGCATGTCCTGGAAGCCCTAGAAAGAAACAATGCAAGTAACTGGCTGCTCATACTCCCAGAAAACTTTACAAGACCCTACCCATGCCCTGTGCAATGACAGGAACAGCAGGTGCTCGTTTGGATTACAGATCACCCCCCTCCAGGTTAGAGGGAGTACTCAATCACAAATGAGTTGTTCTCTCCTCTGAATACCAGCCTTGGTACAGACATCAGGGAAATAAAGACCCTTCAAAGGCCAATATTTCAAAAAGAACATAAGAAAAATGGGCTTGTTAGTTAGGATGGTCTCTTTCCTCCAAAGTCACAATCCCTGTCTAAAGACAACAAGATGAGGCAGTGAATAAACTGCCATTTTCTAGACCCGACAGCTCTGTGCCAGGTGAAATATTTCAAACTCTTCCTGACACAAAATGTCACAACTGATGCAAGTTTAAGTGGCCTCACCCGTGGTCATGTCGTATTCTCAGGTTTTGACAAAAATACCACAGCTCTTACAGACTGGGAGCAAAAAAGAAAACAATTTCTGTGGAGGTGTAAGTATCCAAGATCAGGAAATGCATTTCCTGTCTGCACAGAGGGAGCTGAAATAGTTGTGAAAGTGTCACAAGGACTCATTCTCACCTACACTTTTCTGCCAATTATTTCCTGCTGGGAAGGTGTGTGAGCTGGGGTCCTGGACCCTGGATTCAGTCCCTGCTCTGCCCAGGTGGGACAAAACAGAGTGAGTGACACCCTCCTGGTCACAGCATGAATTAAAAGTGATCTTAAGCTGCTTGGATAGAAACCTGACTTTTACAAGGTTAAAATTTTGCCACCTGAATCCCATTCATAGGGAAAGCAGCTAAGGGAGGTTATGTTAGGCAGGTGCTCTGAAGAAAAAGGGAAGTTTGGAACAAATTGCACCTATTGGGAGCAGGCAAGGGGAGCACTGGTGAGATACAGACCAAGTGCCAATGGCCTGGGAATGGCTGTTTGACTGCTCAGGCAACACTGAACAATTTGGCACTTTAAAAGCCTGCCCAGCAGCTATTTGTAACCCCACCAGCCTTGCTCTGAACCAGCTACAGCTCCACTTCCACTGTGCTTTTAAGCAAGGTTGAACCTAAATGCTCTGGAAGCAACACAAGGCATGATTAAAAATCCCAGCTATTCCCTTTGAAAACCTAGGCCTAGCCCTTTCTATGCCTCAGTTTCCCCCCATAAAACAGAAATAACAAAGATGCCTTTTTCTAAACCTCTGTGTTTATGAAGTGCATGAACCACGCAGGTCAGAGCACCGTGGGTGAGGCAGAGCCAAAGACTGGGTATGAAGCAGCCCTGACCTCTGTAACAACACAGAAATCTGCTTCATTTGAAGGTGTGATCTGCCCCCCAGCAATCCAGTAACCCAGGATCCAACTCTGTCTGCTCTCCTTGACCCAGCTGCTCAGAGCCTGCCTTACCTGGAGCAAGGGGCTGTGAGTTTACAGATGCTCGACTGCAGGTGCCACTCCCTGCCAAGATCTCAATCACATCCCACCAGCCAGTTTGGAAATCAGCTTTCAGCTGCTTGTCTCCCCCAGATTCGTGCATCTGAAGCCCCCAGCTGCAGGGGAGCCCCCAGGCTGCCTGGTGTCCCACCTTACTGCCTGCTGCATGAAGCGATCGGGATCCACCGCCGAGAACGTGGTCAGCACCGTGCCCGTGGGCACCCCTTCCTCCAGCCTGATCAGCTTGTGGTTGGTTGGGAAATACGGGGCTTCGTTGACATCTGTGACTGAGATGGTGACTCCTGCTGTCGACTGGAAGGACATCTGGATGCCACTGGCCAGGGGAGCTTGGTTTGACACCATCACTGTCAGCATGAAAGCTCTGTTCATCTCGTAATCGACTGCCTGAAACAAACAAACCAGCAAGTGTAGAGCCAAGCAGAGAATAAATTCTACCTTCTGGCTGGAAGCTGCAAGACTAGAAGGTAGATGATATCAAAGTCATTGCCTGATCTTTTTCCTCCTGAGCTCAGTTCTTTTGAAGGTGTAAATCCAGAGCAACTTCAATCCAGTGGAGGATTTGGCCTTCCAGTTTTTGGAGGGTCAAGTAGTTAAAAAAAATTCCACAAAGGAAAAACTGCAAACAGCAGGAAGCATTTGCCCTGTATTTTGTTCCAATGCTAAGTGGTTTCCAAAAGACAACCTGCCTGTGAGAGCTGAGCATCAAATGAACAAACCCACCCAGGGCTGCTCTAATGCAACAGGTGGAGCCTGTTCAGAGGGTTGGGATGAGCACTTAGCAGTGCTATTAGCACTGAAACTGCTGACTGTGGAACCAGGACAGTCTCTGTGGACCCATGAGCCTGAAGGGCTCTTTATTTTCCCTCTTAAATGAGTTTATAAGCAGAGGTGGAGCTGCCAGGAACAATCCCTGGTCAGGTTAAGCAGGTGGTCCTTCCACTGGGACCTCTCATCCTCCTACAAGGCACCTCGTGGTCTCTGGAGGCTGCCTACAGCCCTTACAGCTGGGTTTTGCTGCTGGGAGGCCACAGATCTCTTCTCAACACACACATGGAGACAATGTGTCTGTCCCAGGAGCCAAACGGAGTGAAAAGCCTTTGCTGGCACGACTGACTGAGCCCAGTATTATAATAATTTCTAAACCATCCCACTAATTATTATGAGGGAAGTCGCTAATCATCTGCCAGGGAGGCTTGAGTTATGCAGGATCACACCTCTGCTTGTTAAAAACTGCTTTGCCATGATTTATAAATTTAGAAGCATATCCATCCTCCCTAATACCTTCTCCAGCGCTGAGTCTGCAGAGCACTCACTCAGGGTGTGAAACACCACAGCTACACCGACTTGGACAGGGATTTACAGCAGCAGGAGCTGCCTGCCATGTCCTGTTTAAAACCCAGTATTGTCAGGAGGGAAATCAAATCATAGGAGCCTACACGAGAGAAACAAATTTCAGGGGCAAGAGGTAAACCAGCGGAATCTCTACTCGATTGAAGTGCAAATGTTCCCCATGCTAAATGGCTTCCTGACAGGCAGGGCCAACATTTAATAAATAAAAGGAAGCATAAAGATTCCCAGTACACCCACCCGTGCTGACTCACGGACTTGTGCTGCATTCAAAACCAATGCATGCTGAAAGTTCCCATTTAAACACTATTCAAGGCCTTGAAACAATTTGACTAATGCATTTCCTCAATTTCTTTTCACACCCCCTCTAATTTATATTCCTGCAGTTTTCTTTTTTTTTTTCCTTTTTTTCTTTTTTTTTCTGCTGCTCTTTTTGCTAGGCTGTCCACAGTCACCCTGCTCCTCCCTCCCCAAGGGGTCTCAGAGGCAGCTGGGGGCTGAGCAGCTCCATGGGGAATGGTGTGGGAAACTCCCTGCTGCTGGTGCTCAGGACACACAGCTCTGCTAGGATGTGGCCTGATGTAAAGTAGTGGGGTTTTTTCCCCCCAAAACATGTAAGGCTGCTCTCTAAACTTTTTCCTCTTTCTTCTGGTAGCAACAAAACTTGGGCTGCAGAAAAAACATGCAAGGAGCAGAGCTGGACCAGGATCAGGCACCCCAAAGGTTGTCTAGGAGGCATCAGTGTCACCAAACAGTGTCCACCACACTTCAGTCTGCAAGACAGAGCTGATCTGCTCATTTCTGCTGTGTCCACCAAATCCTATTTTACACAGTTTTGTAAAAAAAAAAAAGGTAAAATCAAGAGTCTGTGCTGTGCTGGCAGTTTGGGCCATTTAGCCCCATGGGACAGCAGCGCCTTGCAGCCACTGTCCAGCCCTAAGGCAGAACTTCTTTCACAACTTAATAAGCAATTTATACCAGAACTGCTCTTGCCTCTGCTCCCTAAAACTGCCTCCCTCTGAGGATAATGGTGCACAGAGCACTCAGTGCTCCTCACACCACACTCACCCCTTCCACTTCCATGCATCTCACTGGAAATGCTGCACACTGGTCATTTGATGGGGTTTTAGGGACACAGTGGACTTGATCTTGTTAGCTTAACAGCTGGACTTGATGATCCTAGAAGTATTTTCCAACCACAATGATTCTTTGATTCTATGGCAGCAGGATCCTGAAAAAGCCCACAGAGCCACTACATCTGGGACAAGGACATGTGGGACTCTTGCATACTTTGCACTTGACATGAAATGAAAAAGCAGCACTTTTGCAGTTACTCCTTGCTGGATGTTTGGTGTGTGATCTGGCTGTGAAATATCCCCTGGAGCTGCTGCACATCCTCCTCCTTCACCAGCACCTCCAACCTGGCTGCAGCAGAGCGATGCTGAGGGCTTGCCATGTGTCCTCCTTTTCTTTTAACTGAAGTGAACAAATCTGCCTGGTGTTAAGAGTTGAGGCAAATAATAACTGAAGCTTCAGCAGCATCTCCATTATAAATTCACAGCTCTGATCCATGCAGAGTTTATAATAACATTTTACTTAGCTGGCTGCCACAGGGCAGCCACTGCTGCTCTGGGAGATTGTCTTCAGACTCTGCGGTGTCTCATCTGAGTGGGAGGTTTCCCTCTGCCCTTGATCAAGGCTTTCTTTGAAGATTAGGGTCTTGCACAGTTTTGGAAATGGTTTGGAAAGGCAAAAACAGAAAAGGGAAACGTTATACTTTTGGTGATCACACTGGAGATACAGATGGGGTTTTGCTGAGGGCAGTTTCAAAATGGCCCCCACGAGCATAATCTGAACTCCAAAGGCAAATCTGGCTTGGAAGGGTTTTTGGCCCTCCATTTCAGGCCCCTGAAATGCTGGTGAAGTGGTGGGATTCTGCACAGAGCCTCTGTCCCTGTGCTGCTGCTGTCACTCCTTTGCTTGCAGGAGGAGTGATCTGTGGGTGGCTTTGAAGAGCCAGGTGAAAATCCAGCCATGTAGGGTCTGTAAATAAATGGTTCATTACTTGACTTTAATTTTTTTACCTGTGTTTTCAACCCACATCAGTGATCAAACCAGCAAGAGACTGCTCCAACACAGCAAAGAACAAGCTCTGACTGGCCACCCAGTCTGATGAGAATACATCCTCCAAATCTTTAAGCATATTCACTTATTAACAGAGAACAAAATATTTCAAAGAAGGTGAAATCCTAAGAGTCTTCCCTTCTTCACCATGAAAATTTAATCACAAGCAATTTCACTCATTCTCCTTGCTGAAAATACACCAAAAAGCCTCCCAGCCAGATAGGGGTAGGGAACCCTGTGCTCAGGAGGATCAGGTGAGGTGATGCAGTGAAGACATCCAATGCAATTTCAAGCTCTGAGCTCAGCTTGATGGGATGGGATTTTCATGTGGTTCTCTGCTTTGTGATCACTGTGGGTTACACAGCAGTGGAAAATCAACACCAGCATCAATGGTGTCTTGACAAATCTGCCCTGCTTTCTGCCTGCAAGTTGTGAATAAGGGAGGGTTCATTATGCACAAGTCCTTGTGCAGCAGTGTTGATCATGCAAATCCCCTGTTGTTCACTTTGATGTGCCTTTAAACTACAGTCCTGACACTTTGCAAGATTAAAAATAAGGGGTCCTCCCCTACTTGCAGTAAAAATGTTGGCATTTCAATTTCAGACTGGCTGCTGATGTCAGTGGAAATTAAATTTTTGCACTTTTCTTCATTGAATGTTTTCTGTGTAAGCAGAAAATATAGATTTGGATATATGTATGCTTACACACATATATGCAACCATATACACATGTCTAAGCTTGAAGAGACTTCATAGTAAGGCTGTCAACCATCATCACAGAGCAATAAAAAGTGATAAATAAGAGGACCCTGCTGAAATACCATCTGGCAGGTAGGATGGTGTGTCCCTTGAAGTTTCAGCAGAGCAGCATCTGCAGACACACACACATAGCCCAGGGGTCAGGGAACAGGACAGGCTCACACGTTCCTGCCAGTGTGACCTCATGGCATCTCACTGATGCCATTTCTCCTAAGACACAAACTGCACATTAGGAATGACTGCAACTTGTTTAGCTAATAACAAGGAAATAGGGCTCAACACAGAGCTGTTCTTGAATTATACTGCTCTTTATGCTGCTCATTTCTACCTGTGTTGTTGATTAAAACTTTTTGTGAGGGAAGGCCAGACTTATCAGAAGGTGCTGACTTTATCCACCCCATTAATCCTTCCCATGTGCAGTGCACAGTGTGTGCTGTGCAGCTCCTGCACATCTCAACAGCCTGTGTGTGATGTCTTTGCTGGTTTTTGTAGTCAGAGGAAACATCCACAGGCATCTTTTCTGGGAAGAGCTTCAGTGAATGCTGAAGGGATCCAGTGATGTCCTGGCTGTGTGTAATCACTGCAGAAACACTCACTGGCCTCACAACTGAAAGAGAAGCGAATGCTCCAATGAAGATAGAGTCAAGTTCTTTGCAAACATGGAGGCAAGGAAGGAAACACAATTTGGCACTTGCTGCAGGCATCTTGAGGCTTCCAGCTCTACCAGCACATGAAGGGAAGAATGGTGGATATTTCTGGTTTGATTTCTTGGGAGTCTTTAGACAAGATCTTCTGCTGATCTACCTGGGGGGTGGCTTTAAGTGGAGCTGTTCTGAATTGAGGATCTGTCCCATACTGTATATTTCTTGCTTAATACCAGGAAAAGGAAAATCTCTCCAACAGTTTTGGTGCCGAACAACTCAGTCAAAGGGAAAATTTCCTCCCGTTCTGTTACAGAAAATTCACCCCTCCTGAGGTCTCCTACACTCCCTGCTTTCACAAAGGATCACTTGACTGACCCAGGCAGTGAAACAGTGCCCTTGATCCACAGCAAACAGGGTCATTTCAGGCTCGTTCCCTCTTACAGAGCTCAAAGAGCCAAAGAGAAGCAGGAGGTGGAGGTCAGGCTCTGGTGCTGGGAATCCCTTCAGCATGTGAGGCTTTCTGAAAGCTCATGGTGGGCTGGGCTGAGCTGGGAAACCCAGAAAACCCAGAACCAGTGCCATATGCTGGAGAGTTTCAGGCCTCCTACACACAGAGAGATGGGGAACAACAGATCCAAACACTCGCACTTCCAGGCAGGGAAGGCACAAACAGCTGCAGGCTCCTGGCCATCCCTGCAGCTGTAAGGGTGACAAACACAGTGTCTCTGGCTCCCCTCACCTTCACCACGGTGACCATGCCCTCGTTGGTGACGGGGTCGGTGCGGATGGTGAAGTGGCCCGAGGGGTCCCCGCTGATGATGCGGTAGATGGCGTTCCAGTTGGGAGAGTGCGGCTGGTCCCGGTCCAGCACCGTCAGGTTTGCCACCACAACCTCCACTCTGTTCTCAGGCACTTCTCCTGAATACTGCAAAGGAAAGAAGACAGGGGTGGTCATGGAGGGAGCTTTCTGTCCATCCCCACACCTCCCTCCCCTCTCCCCTCCATCACCATGCACATTGGGACGCCAGTCCCATGAAGAGGACCATCTGTAATGAGCAACACAGCTCTTTCTCAATTCTGCTTTTCTGTTGGAACCCTGGTTACTGAGGATTTTAGACTTTTTGTGCTGACAGGCCCTGACGCCCAAGAGAACACGGCATTGCCTTTCCACTGCTTGAGTAAAGCAATCTGTGAAAGAGGTGAATGGCTCAGTTATTCCCTGCTTTACTTCTGTATAAATGCCCTCTGGGATTCCAGTAGGTTGGATTTGCAGAATAGCTTTCTGAGCTGCTTCCTTGATATCTGAAATCACATCTTGAGGAAGATCCACAGCTTGGTCCTCAGGTTTATTATGAGGAAAAGGCAAGACTATTCCTGTTTTTTTTTCCTTTGAGTATTTCCCCAAAGCCTAATTTCACGTCTCAGCCCGAAGGAGAACAAACCCACTATGGCACAGCCACTGCAAGATTCAGCAAATGCTCCAAGGAATCCAACAAAAAACATTCTTGATATTCTTGCTTAATTACAGCAACCAGAGAGTTAATTGTCAACAGCAGGGGAAAATGGCACACTGAAATGTCTGAATTTTTAGGATGACTATCTCCGTTTATCCCAAGGTATTATGCCTCACTCAGATTTCAGTGATGGCATTTTATTGCTTCTTCAGTGATTTTACTTCATTTTATTTCTTTCTTGCCCCTGATTTTGTCTCATTATTTGAAGTGTTTCTTGTGATTTTGCCACAGCCTTTCCTGGTGCTTAATTCTCTCATTTAGCACTGATTTCCATGGAGCATGTCCCATTCAGGCACATCCTGACACATTAACTGCATTCTTTTCTGCTTTCCAGTCCCTGATTTATCTCGTGGCTGATCAGGGATCCTGGCCTGTGAATACTTCCAGTATTTGGGGCTCAAACTGCCAGTAAGACACATTCCCAAATTTTCAACTGTCCTCATGTCTCAGCACTGCCTATTAGCAGCACTTGCAAATCAACACTCTGATTGACATATGGCAAATTAAACACTGGGGAAACGCCGGGAGCGGCTGGCTCCGAGTCTGCAACTGAAATTCTGGACCCAAACTGCAGGAGCAGATGACTTCTAAAATCTGGCCTTTGGTGTGCACAAATGCCAGGTTGTGTAAATGATAATAAATCATTCCTTTGTTAGCACAAGAGTCCGTTTCCCCTCCTAACCCATCCCCATCCTTTGGCATCTCTCTGTTACGGATGCTTGTATTTAGTATATATTATTTCACTGCTGACAGGAAAAATATTCAATCTGCCTTATGCTAATGTGAATTTAAATTTGCCCTTTAGTGGTATCCTGAATGGCATCTTGCCCTCTTTTCTGCTATGCACCTGTCCTAAACAAGTTTTCATTAGTGAATGCAGATGGCATCTCTTTCCAGCCATGCAGAGTGGTGGGGAAGAACAGTGGGAAGCTGCAGGATAATTCTTATTCTGCTACATGCTACAGCTCTTCTTTTCTCTTTATTTCCCCTGATTTCACTTGTTCTTTACCCATTCTCTTGCCCAATTTGGAGTCTCGGCGGCACACAGCTTAAGCAAGGGAAATATATGCAAATTTATCAAAAGCCTCTTGAAAAATCCATTAGATTATGTCATATGTACACTCTACTATCAACCTCGTCTGAACTGAAGCAGATTAGTTAAACAGGATCATCTCTTCCTAAATCCACACTAGTTATTGCCCATTACATTAAATTAATGTTGTATGGCATGGCAGCAGTGACAAGCCGACGACCCCCAGTCTCTTTTCGGCTGCACTGCTGACAACAAGGTATCATTCTGTAATTCCAAAGGAGTTAAACACTCAGTGAAACCATCTCAAATCTTCAACCCAGGACCACAGATTTCATCTGTCAATCCTGGGCTTATGCCCTGCAGAACCAAACAGAATTAAGTCATCAAGAACAAACCATCAGCTGCACTTAACCCATTTAAGAGGGCCTGCCCTATATGATCCCTGAACACGTTCAGTAGGTCACAGCCCAGGTGCTGCCAATGAGTTTGGGTCACATGGAAAAGCCCCACACAGATTTTACAGCAGCTCCTCTAGCAGCCATCACAACATCTATTTTCAGCCCACAGTGACAGAGCTTACACATTTTAAAACATGATGTTATATTAAAAATTATAAATACACAAGCACATGCCAATACAAAGCCTGGAGGAAGATCACAGCAGCCTATAAAGCTTTTCCTTGGGGTGAATACCACAGTGCTCAGCACATCCTGGGCAATCCAGGAGTTCATCCACTTGTTGTTGACCTCTGTTAGGTACAGTTAGGAAATTATCAGTCCTAAGCAGAATTGAGAGTGGATACTGCTTGCTGTGCTTATAAAGCAAAGTATTATTCTGAGGAGAACAGAGCACCTTCTCTGGAATCAAAGGAGCCATCCAAAGCTATTCAGGGTAAAAAGCAAATCTTGGAGAGATGTGCCATGAAGAAAAGAGTAATTTTCATCAGCTACAGATCAGCAGCTACTGGGAATTCAAACTGGAGTCTTCCTTTCCTCCCTCTCACACTCCCCCACTATCATTATTATAGGTAAATGCTGTAATGTGTATTGTCCACAATTGTCTTTACCTTTAATAAAATTAAGTAATGACATTAAATTACACCTGCTAAAGGAAGGATGGCAGCTCAAAGCTACCCACACTACTTTAATGTCATTCCCTCCCTACCCTGGAGTAATTCAGGATAATGAACATCTTTCACTATGCTGCTTTCCAGCATTCCCTCTGCTCTAAGTTCTCTTTCATAAGATTACAATTGATTTTCAAATAAAGAGAAGCATATCTATTCAAACAAGGTAAAACAATGGGCAACAGAGGAGCTGCTGGAGTAAACACAAGATTGATAAAGCAGTGCTTGACCTATACCTGTAGCATTTACTCATATTCCCCTGTATTTCATTCAGCTTCACTTTCAACTGTTGCATTTGAAGTCCTTGATTGACAGAAAATTTTTAAAGACCACTCATAAAGATTTCTCTGGCTGATTGTTACACACTTCCCTTCTCAGATAGGGATTTGTTCTGAAACTGTCATGTTCTTAAATCCTTAAATTCTGTGGGTTATTTTTTCTTCTCCTCCTATAAAGGCCTGTTCTGGCAAAACTCCTTCTCCCACTCCCCTTGAGCTGGCCCCTCTGAAGTTATGCTTTGCTGAAAAGGAAATAATTCATTCTGATCTTTGGGTTGGTACTAAAATTGGTTAATCCCAGAATTTGTCTTTCATGTCATTTGGACCTGACAGCACATAAACACGCAGACAAATATCATTGCAGAGGAGAAAGGGATTGATGTGGGGGACAAATGATGAATTCACACCATGACTTGACTTTGTGCAATAAATCTGGAGTCTGGGCAGTGAAGCCATGCACAGCTGAGTAAAACCAATTAGCTACTGCAGCCATTCCTAGGGAGGTGTGGGATTGAGACAGATGAACACAAATATAATTATTCAGGCTTCCTTCTAAAGGGAATTCCTTTTTTTTTCCAATGTTCTTACTTCTTTCCCTGGCTGGTTTTGCTAAAGAGCTGTGAAGGCAAAGACTTGTTCAGATGAATGTCTGCAGGAAAGATCTTTCTGTTGCCTCCAAGATTCACTAATGATGACACAACATTTGTTGCAGGCAGCAGTGGTTTATGAAGGCTGAATTGCCAGGACAAACAGTGTTTCATGACCTATAGCTATGGATTAACAGAAGAGTAAGGGCATCTCAGTGCTCTTACTAGACTCTGAGCCCCTCCCCAGATAGGTATGACTGCTGCAAAGTGCTGGATCTTCTCTCTAGGCTGGGAGAAACTGAAATGAGAATGCATGGGCTGGTGGGGGTCCCATCCCTCCCCAGTTCCTGCCTGCCCCATGAGGACACAAGGTGATGTGCAGCCAGGGATCCCAGCACTCCGGGGGCTCCACTGGCTGAATAAAACCCACAGCTCCTCACACTTCAGGGCATCCCCCCAGCCCCATGCTGGCATCCCAGGCAAGGGTTTTCTGCTAACAAAGATTCTTGAAAAGCAGGAAAATTAATAAACAACTGGGGTCTGGTTGCAGCAGTCTGTGTAAAATGGAGGGGGGGGAAGGAGAAAATTTCCTAATAAATCATTAATTGTGATGTGCCTGCCCAACTGCAGCATGGAAACAAGCAAATGCCATCCTAATTGATTGCTTCTTATTCCATCTTTATAGGCCTGCATTTTTTATTGTGTGGGTTGAATGAGCCCAGAGGTGTAAAAAACTTCTAGGCTGTACTCTGTGTATCTGCCAACTTGATATTTAGATCAATAATGCTCTTTCCCCTCCCCCCCCTACTCCTACTACTGGTAATTTAGCTTTTCTTCCTAGCAGACTAATTGCTGTTTTCTTAAGCCTTACTATCAATTCTGTGACCTTTAATTTCCAATATAGTTTTCTGTGGGGATGGCTGTGCTGGGCTGTGAGTTATCCCAGCTCTCAGCTGCTGTGACAGTCACACAGGGACTGCCAGGGTCTCCCTCCACTGTGTGCAAAGCAGACTATGAGCTTGCTCAAATCCCCACAAAACCCCTGTGAAGTCTGCCTTATTTTGAAAGCCAGGCTTTGAGATGCTCATTTCTGGTTTTATTAAACTACTCACTCCAGTGAGGTCTCGAGTGATCACCACTGATGTCCTCACTGCTTTTTGAGGCTGCTCTGCATTCCACCAGCCAGCAGCCCCTCCATGAACCTCTGGGCTGTTGTTTTTTCCAGGTTCATGGCTACAGAATCCTCTGCACTGCTTCAGTTTCACATCCACGTGGATCTCCTCCGGAGTGCATCCATGCATTCATACCCAGCTGCTGTGGTGCTCCCTCTCAAAGGAACTGCCTGGGCTGCAGGACTCAGCCCTGCCCAGCCCACCCAAGGAAGTGC